ACTGGGCAGCAGCCCCATTTCTCCCACTCCCTGACCTCCCAGCAGYGCTGCTCCAACAGGACGTGGTGATTTACAGGGCCCAGGGCCAGCAGGAAATTCCRACCTCCGCCCCCCGGAGCAAGGAGGAAGCCGGAGGAGCTCCGTGAGTCAGAGCCGCTCCTGAGTCACCGCGGACGCGGTTCCTGGGCTGGTGTGTGGGGTCAGGAGCCCTGGTCACCGCTCCCTCCTTCCAGCTGGAATTGACTCCCGCCGGSGTTGTTTGAGGAGGAAATGCGCGTGGAAAAAAACCCGGCTTGGTTCACGCTATTCTTTCATAAACAACTTATGGCAGGTGCCTGGCAGCTTATGATAATTAACGGGGTATTTATTGGGATYAGAAAATACACCGAGCTGAACAAGCGTCTCATCTGTCCTTGGCTGGCTGCAGTGGGATGGGGTCATTCTCAGTCTGGCTGCAGATAATAAATCAAAGGGCTGGAGGAGCTGCAGGAGAGAGGGCATGAACTGCCCGAACATTCAGCTCATTGTGGCGGCGAAGGCGAAACTTTCCCAGCCACGTTTCCACTCATCTCCAACCCGGTTTCTCCCTGCAGGTGGCTGGGCTGAGTTCTCTGAGCAAACAGAGCTCCCTTTACCTTGGCTAAAGCATGATTTTGCTCCAGAAGGAGCCTTGAAGGCCATTTGGGGCTGCCAGGGCGAGCACACCCAGCTCTGGGCAGCGTTTGGGGTGCTCAGGGAGATGCTGCTGTGGTGGGATCAGCTGGTGCCAGGCTCTGGGTGAGAATGGAGCACAAAAACGAGCAGAGTGGCTGAGGAGGAAACAGCCAGGAGCTGGGGGAGTGGAGGAGGGATGACTTTCCTCTGATGTCAAAAATCCCATCATTCAGCGCTCGCCGTGGAAAAGGCGAGAGGAGAGGAATGTGGAGAGRGAGAGAGACAGGGGAAAGGAATGAAGGGAAAGGACGTGCTCATTTTTCTCCTGAATTTTGTAGGCTGGGCTTGTCCACCCCAGCAGGATGGAGAAATGAGCCTGATCCTGGGTGCCAAGCCCTGCCCAGCCTTGCAAACCCCAGGGACTGTTCCCAAGCCCATCCCGATCTGGACTTGGTTAGTTCTGCCTTGATACGAATAATCAGGGAGAGAAAAATGCTCAAGAAACTTACAGCAGTTCCCACAGGGCTCTCTGTGCCTCAGCTTTTATTTCTGGCACTTTGAATTTCCCGATCACTGTGAGAGACCCAGCTGTCCCAGGATTTCTGCAGGGCTGGGAGAGAGGAGCAGGACTGGATGGAAGTGAAGAAGGAGGAGAGCTGGAGCTGCCCTGGAGCCCTGTCCAGGTTCCTAATTCTTCCTTCCCGAGGGGCTGATTTCAAAAAGGTTTTGCCAGGTTTTGTCCTTCGTGCATTTCGCTGTGTGCCGTTGCCTGTAATTAGTTTCTCAACTGAAAAAG